ATGTAACATTTCCAACATGGAGCTCTTGGAGTCTTGAGAAGACAAGGTGGTGAATAGTTTATTGAGAGTTAACTATGAACTTACAGAACATTTTTATGCAACAAGCGAGAATTTACTGTATGTATCAATACAATTGTTGTAAATTATTGACTCTCAGTTCAGTAGGTGATCTTTTCGTTCACTATTACAGCTATATACATGTATATGTAGATTAAAAATGTAGTCTCACTCAATACACCACAATCAATTCTAATGATAATCTTGACCCAAGTAAAGCAACAATCAGAAACTTCAACCTGATTAATCATTGATATCAAACTGAATCAGCTAAATTGCACATTTTATAATACGTTTATTGCAATGAATAAAACAATAAAATGATTTTTTATGCAAATTCATCTATCGAGTGAAAGTTAACTGCCTTCATCAAATCAAAGTTGCTTTACTGGTTAATCTGTTTCATTGAGCAGATGAATCAATCAGTAGGAAAGTGAAACAACTACAATTAAATAAGAACGATATTTAATTAATGTATATGGTTTATAGCCAGTCTTTGGGCGCTGAGATATTATTAATAATAATAATAAGTTACAGAATTTATAAATTAAGTCGAATGTAATCTTAATTGTTTGATGTTTTCAACAGATCATTAATTAATTAATTTGAATGAGACCCATTTCTTTGGTGTAATTAGTTTTGGTACATTTTTTGTTTGTAATTTGATTTGAATATAATTAAGTGGATCAAATAGTAATAGTTGCTTAGTAAATCTAAATTTTTCATCTTCATCTTTTGTTCCTTCATAATCAAATTAATCAATAAATAATAATTATAATCAATAGACGATAATTAACAAAAGTATTCCAACATCGGAGGTGGAATGAGATAAAAATGTTTGTTAAATTTACAACGAATACTCAACAATTAGTGAAACAATTAAGCTGGAGTGTTGATTATGATGTGATTTGATGATCATCTGATGAAAACGAAGAGAAGTGAAAAAATTAATGTGATAGAGGTAAAGATGAATTGTAATTGTCATTATTTTTGACAGATCAACAGATCAATTAACTAATTTGTCGTTAATAACCTTCGGAATGTTTCGATTGCTGTTTTTGTTTTGTTCCTATTTTAGTTGATGGACTTTTTTGTTTGAAATGAAAAACCTTTCGCTCTTCTCAGGATGAGATCGCAGAACAACAATTCTAATCTACTATATTTACATGACTCTAAAAAAGATTCCCTGGTTCTCTTTAATCATATTTCAACACACAAAGAAGGGTTGGTGGTGGTGTGTGTGTGTGTGTGTCTGTTCAGATAAAAAGGAAATAATCTAATTGTTGAATGATAATCTAAATCTTAAAAGAGTGCATAACCAAAATGCCTCTTCTTTTAAATGTGTGTGTGTGTGTGTGTGTGTATATATTATAGCTCTGTGTATGTACAAAGATAACGAGAAAGTTGAGAAAACTGGAAAATGGACAGGAGTTTTGGAAGATAACGGGGGAGATGAAAAGACTCTCTTTCAAGAGGCATATTATGTACACGAAAGTCAAATAATACTGGCAGGAAGTGTATCGAACACATCTAGCGCTGATGATCCCATAGCCGAGAGCCTTGGACGTCTCTTAATGTGCGATCCGTTCATAGTATTTCGTGATGTGGAGTAGCCACCATGCTGTATGAGAAGATCGGCAATGTCTTGATGCCCATTCAATCGGGCATAATATAAAGCTGTCTGTCCATAACGGTCAATCGCATCTGCTTTAGCATTGTGCTAGAACAAAATGAAAACAGTTTATTAATAATGATAAACACGAGAGCCTTGGTTAGTTTCATCAATTCAATCGTTTGTCAATGATTCAATATTATTACACAACTTACCCAGATAAGTAATTGTACAATTGCAAGAGATCCAATAGTTGCAGCGATGTGAATTGGATATTTACCATCGGATGGTTGAATTGGCGAGTTTACTTGATCTGGAGATGGTAAATGAGCCAAAACTTTAGCGACACTCGGTACATTGCTGTTAGAGATATAGTATAAAAGTTGTTGCTTGATGCTATCAGGTGAGTCTAATGGAGCAAGAAACTCTTTCTTTTCGTATTTACTGCGAATCCATCTTTCTTTCTCATCTCTCGAAGACGAAGCAGTTGGCTTGGTTAAACCTCCAATGTTATGTTCGTAAATACTATTAGTTATGGAATTTCCTAAGGATTTCATTACACTAACATGTCCAGGCCTGAGGGCGAATGAAGAAAAGTAAATATTGATTTTATTTGATCAGAAATTGAGATAAAAAGGTTCCATTTTTAAAACTTGAAACAAAAAGATAATCTTGCAGGTAAGAGGACAACAAGCTTATTAGGCTAATAGTTAATCTGCTTGAATATTCTATTCATTAATTCAATCAACTCAATTTGATTAGACGAAAAATATCACAGTTCAATGAGATAATAATTTGATATTCTCGTCTGAGTCCCAAGGCTTAAAATTGGTCAACTTTAATTTGAAAATCAAAATCTTGAGTTGAAATGTTTCAATAACTAACGTTAAATGGGATAAATTTACATGACGAGAGTTAAATTGTTGGTCAAGTTAATTAAGAAATCACTCAATGGACTTATTTGTTCTTGGTTCAATATTATTAAATTGATTCAATAGATTGATTCCAAATCAATCTATTGAATGTTACATAAGGCGATTGAAGATGAAATTTTCATAAATCAATGATCCTATCACCTCGTTCAAAAAGGGAGATTGTGTTAATTAAATTAATTTCCACAATCAAGCTACTCGAAACTCATGTTTTACTAAACTAAAGATGAATATAAAAATAAAAGAATGATAATCAATTCCCTATGAGCCATTGACTATAAGAAAACAATTCATTTGATTGTTTTCTGAGAAAATATCGAAACCTTTTGATCAACAAAGGAACCATCTTAATGAGCTAAATTGTGAAAACAAGGGATAATCCATAAAAAAGATAATTACTCACGGCCAATCATCTAAATCCAATGAGCGAACACGGGATATGTGCGTTCCTAAATTACGATGAATTCCAGAGCATTCGATACATATCAATGCACCCAAATTGAAACTAGTCCAATCAGGATCTAAACCGAGAGAAAAATGGTAAAAACGATGAGAGATACAAAAGGTAAAAATGATTAGCTATTTGCTGGCGAAGCAAAAGAGTAAAATAATCATCTTCATACTTGGTTTATTGCAATCAACGCAATGGGAATTTCCGGCAACCTCACGTATCGTTTGTACAGAAGCTCGATCAGAAATACCACTAATACGGTATTTAGATTTGTCACTTTCCATTTCCTGTAGACTGTTCAAAATCTCTTCCTCGATCTTTGTCACCCATTCTTCTCGTTCATCGAAACTTGATGCTTCGAAATGCCATTGTTTATTGTCAAGAGAAACAATGATGAATTCATAACCATAAGAATCATCAACACCTTCACCGTTTTGCTTATTGTTGCTTTTACTTCGACGATGACGTTTCTTGTGATGAGTTGATTCCTTTCCGAAAGAGGAATTGGTACCTGAAAGCTTATCACTTTCTATAGCTAATTAAGAGCAATAAAAGAAACACAACATGATTAGACTCGTCTCAAAATGGGTGAGAATCAATTGATTACCTGAACATATATGAAGACTACTGAGATCACTTTCTAAATAACTGGAGGTAGATTCAATTAAACTGGAAGGTCCACTACTACCTTGTGTTGGTCTTGACCCTCTCGGTTTCTGTCCTGGGATTTTGACTGTTGTGTGTTTAAGGGGAATGTTTTTACCTTGAGCTTCACTTTGGTAATCCTGGAGGGTCGAATGATAAGTCAGGTATCCATCTCTAATTGTGACCCATTTCTTTTTCCAATCCTTGTTCAAAGGCTTTTTACTCTTCTTGTAGAGAAAACCTTGTTTAACTGGGATTTCACGGCCAATACCAAGTTCGCCATTTTTCATCTTCTCTTCTAGAGCTTTATTCTTGTTGTGGGTGAACTGAGGGAAAAGATTCGACCGGCGACGCGACTTGCGAGAAGGTGTCGGTGTAGAACTTGGGGAAATGTCCATAGTCGATGTCCAGTGAACCAGTCAATCAGTTAATAAGATACAAAAACACAAGATTTTCATTCGTACACAAAACACTAAACCGATACTATCGAAACCCAAGTATCGACTGATATCTGATTGAAGATCCAAATTGTTGCTTCCATTTGACAACAGATGGAGAGAGACTCAAAATCGGATAGATAGACAATCTTTCAAAAGGTTCCAAGGGCAAAACTTTAATCTCTCGAAATCTGATGGATTAATTGATTAGTTTACAAACAATCGTTGTTCAGGTTTTGTGATCATGTTGTCTGATTTAATCTCACAAATAGTTATCGCCGATAATTAACTCGATGCAACTTTTTCATGGTAAATCTGTAATCTGATCAATTGCATGAATAAAATCAAGCTTCTATTTTAGGTGAATTCGTTTAATCATGAGATCAAGAATTGTAAATTAAATGAAACGGTTCAAGATTAACTGATGAACAGACTCAGTTGACATGAACATCAGCACTGGTCAGTAAATGTACTCAATGGGTACTTGGAAATGGAAACCAAGATTTAGTCAACAATTTCTATGCTTTTAATTATCAAAAATAGAAAATGAAATCAATAGGAGATTTCTGTAGACAATTGAGAAACTTTTTAAGCATCACAATTAACTTTTTGACTGAACTTTTGAATGTCCCAAATATTATGCGAAAGCTTAATTCGTATCACCAAAAACCAATAATAACACGAGCGTAACACAAACTGGTTGAAAGATCAATTGTTTCTTAGTTAATGATAAATTGAATCGATAACTTTATCAGTGACAATTAACATATCAAGGGAACAACAATCAACATAAATTGGGCTAAAGAGGTACGAAAAGAGAAGGAGAGAAAGATAAACGATTTCGAGAACTAATTATGATTAACAATCTTGTTCCAACAGTAATACAAGTAAAATTTTGTTCAATCAATTGTGATTAGTTAACAGTTTATGTTAAATGTTAAATAGTCAGAAATTAGTTTAAACTTATTGGTGGGAAGTAATCAAATCATTTAATTTTTGCTCATCTTAATTGCAGAATTATGGTTCCAATCCATCGGGATTCTTATTCTTTTCCTTAACCGTTGGTGTGTTTTCAAGACAATAGAAAATCAATTGAAAAATGAAGGTAAATTGTGACCCGAGCCTGAATTAAATTGTTTTCTTTCGTGGTAATTTTCTGCGTTTTGTTTATTGTTCAGGTTCCACTTCCAAGACTCATTGTAATTGTATTGATTGTTGGATTATTAATTGGGACAGTTAATTGTGCTATCAACTTTTCTGTTGATTCACCACCAGCATCATACATGACACCAAGATTTCGATTCTCACCGATGAAAATGTCAATGCAAACGAGACACGGACCAGAAACTGGTCAAATTAAAGTTAAATTTCCCGAAATGTCAATAGTTAATCATCAAGATGAGTCAATTATAATCAAGTGAGTACGATTAACTTTAACTAAATCCATTGGTTTAGACTCTTGGTGGACTAATGTTTGATTTTTCTTCATATAAATTTAACCCTGATAATCAAATTACTCAGCCAACATGAAAACCGGATAACAGTTTTCAAGGTTTTTCTATTTTATTTAATCACTTTGATTAGGATAAACGTTACCGATAAGTTGTCAACAATTTAGACTCTTTAAAGAACAGAAAAACTTGAAATGTTCAATTAGCAAAATAATTTACTTATTTTCTTATATTTTTGTAGTGAGAATGTTTCACCAAATCATAAATTCGTTAACCCTTATCAAGTAATTAGACCTTCGCCAATCGACCCAATGTTTCAACGTCGGAAATTATACCGAATGGCCGGAAATCAATATAGTCGAATGTACTTCGATAAAGCTGCCAAAACAGTTTCAATGTCTTACCTGATGATTCCGCCTCGATTCACCAATTCGACAATTGAAAAAGGTCCAAGTAAACTTGTGAAGATCAACTGTCCAAATTGTTTCCAAAATTCTCAGCAAATTTCTCATCATCATAACCAAAATTTCAACAGTAAACCCAAAAAAGTTTTTTCTTATCAATACCAAGGATTGAAAAGGCAAAATACCCACGATGGTAATGCAGGTAAGGTGAACTTTGACCTTTCCAGATCGCCATTATTCACTCCATCGCCTCCTCAGGCGACCATCAGAATTTATCACAATTGATTGGTTGAAAAGGTTAATCGCTTCACCTCATCGCAATTAAGTCACAAACCCAACCAGACAACAGATGGAGACACCTGATAGATTTAATAATTGATTACAAAATCAGCTGATTATTCTGTCTCAATTAATACAATTTGAATCACTTTATTATCAATTTATCTGGTGCATCTTTGTAATAATTTATTAATTGTCATAAAAGAAATATAAAATTTTCTATGTTTCATTGTTCATCTTTGAAAATCTTTATGAAACCAAAATCATTTCACCTCAGTGAAATCCTAACCTCATGTTATCAATTTCATTTGTTTCGATTTTTCGAGCGAAACATCAGTTTCCCAAGTCCATAACCACGATAATAATTAGAAACTTTTGCTTTGAAAAAGTTTTAAACATTTTCGATCATTCAAATAGTAACTCGATATGAAACCAGATGGAGCATACAACTGAAGGCACCAAGAGACATCTCTTGGTGCATCGTCAAAGTCTTTGCTCGAAAGCTCAAAATATCTCATTAATCAGCGATTAATTTGACTAATTAACTTTCCACGGTTGTATTACTGTTGGTATCAGCGTTTATTTTGAAACAAAAGGAAAGTTCAAGATCAACATGAATGTAAAAGTTAATCAAATGGTATAAGTTTTATTATTACAATCAATTTATTGCAATAACCATTGATTAGTACAAAATCGTAGTATAAGAAAAGTAAAAGGGCAATTTAAATGTTCAACTACAATATCAGGTAATAATAATGATTCAGTGTTCAGTTTAAATTGACAGAGGAGTAAACCGTTTAAATAGGTAGCAACTGTGATTGTCATTTAACTACACAATTAACGTAAGATAAACGATCGATCGATTGATTGATTGTAACAAAGTGTGATCATTGCAAAGGTTTAAACTTAAAATTGACAATTAACAATTGATGATTAGTTATAATCAAAAGTAATTTCAATAATTCATGTTAATGCAAATCTAACAATCATTATTTTGTTTCATTGAGTTAAATTGTTATAATAAGTAATAAATTAAAATGTATAAAGCGGGAAGTGTAATATAAAAATAGCTTTGACTTGTTTCTTAATAATTTCAAATTGATTGAATTATTCGCAATCATTAAGGTAAAGATAATTAAAAGGAGAATTTAATTCCAATCATTTAGTATATAATTTAAGGTGTGAACTGGCAACGATTGAATAAATCATTATGTTCTGCTGTTGAGACATTCGATTGGCTCTTTAATTGTTGCGCATTGATTAAGCTATCAAGATATAAATCAAGTTTTGGCTTTGATTCTGTGTTGATTGTCAATTGAATCAGGAAGATAAATGGAAAAAAAGTTGAATTACTAGACGTAGAATGACATAAGATGATGAGAAAGAGAAAGAGAAAGAGAAAAAAGGAAAGACTAAAGAGAGATAGAAAATGAGTGAGATTGGCAAGGTGAGATGAGGAAGAAAAAAGAAAACAATGTGAGCTAATAATGAAGAGAAAGGTACGAAAGGGTTAGGGAGGAGATGAAGAGAAGTGGGCAAGTATTAATAGATGAAAAGTGGAAGAGAAATCGAAAGGCACGTGAAGTGCTTGAGGAAGATAAGTGAGCAAATTATGAACAAGTTCAGCTTTTCATTAACATGGAATCTATGAAACTTTTATTCTTCTCTCTTTCTCTTATCATGACAACTTTTCTAGAAAACTTTAAACAGGTAATCATACGAGTTACAATCAAATTACACTCGATAAACCAAATGAGAACCAATTCGATTGGTTTTTCTTTTTTTTCCTCTCAAACAATTTAAACAATATCTCGAAGCAATTGTAACTCTCTCTCTTAAATTGTTTGCCACAATTTTATCTATTACAATAAAAAAACGAGAGATTTAACAATCAAATGATAACAATTAACTATCAGTATTTTTATCACTATGCTCACAATTAGAAGGTCAAGTCATCATGATAATGAGTCAAAGGCATTGTTGTTTTAACCTTTATAACGATTTGAGATGAAACAAACGTTTGTATGAATTTCGTTGCGTTGGTTTTGGAAACGAAATGAAATACAAAGTAAAAAAAGGATAAAAATGACCTTGGCCCTGAAAAGAAATGAGCAAGCGTAAACAGGGAACAGTTAAAGATAAAATTAATATGATGATAACGATGATGAGAAGCTTACAAAAAGAGAGAATGATAAGGAGAGAGAGAGAGAGAGTGAGAGAGAAGGGGAGAGGATGAAAAGAGGGATGAAAGTGATCGAGGAAATACGGAAGTAAACAAAGGCCTTGACTATTAATCCCATAGTAACAGACACACAAGAACCAACCCTTTCTCTTTTTCTCTTTCGAATTCTCTGTCTTCCTCTTGTTCGTCGAAGTTTTTTTCTTTCTAGTTTTTTCTTCTCTCTCTCTCTCACTCATTCTATCATTCTCCGAGTCTAGTTTTTTTCTCCTTTTTCTTCCTTTTTCATTCGAATTTTTCTTTATCTTCTTGGTCTTCTTTCATCATCCCTCTCATCATCAACTTACTCTTCTTCTTAGTTTTGTTCTTGTCTTGCGCTCTCTCTTTCCCGAATCGAATCTCCATGGCTACCATGACACAGTGAACACGGAACAGTCTCGAGTCTTTTTATTCATTTTGTACATTCAACTGCTCGTAGATACAAGTGATGGCATCAATATTATCATCAACATTCAACCACAATTAACATTAATCAACAATATAAATAAACTGAAAAGGTGAGTCTACACTTTTTTCATTATTTTTGCACTAGAATGTTTTTTCTTGATTCAATTGATTAACAATAATTTTCCTCTTTCTCTGGTGTTCACCATCAACCCAGTTGGTTCTGTCCATCAAAAAGAGTCTCCATCTTCTCGGTGTTTATTTATCCAAAAGAAGGTGTTGTTACCCAAGATTGCAAAAGTGTACCATTGGAACGTGTGGAGGTGGGAGGTTGGAGATAATCTTAATCACATCAACAATCAAGCCATGAAATATAAAGTAAAGATTCACAATTATCTTAAGGAGACAAGTTCCAGTAAAGGAGGAGGCGGTGGTGGTGGTGGTGGTGGAGGTGTTGGTGTTGGTGGTGGTGGTGGTGGTAATCAGAATGATAATTCACTTCATGATAATTTGGAGTCTCATCACCATTTACTTCAACATCCACATCAACGTCATCTTTTCAATGTTGAATCAATGGTTGATAAAAGTGTCTGTGGCAGACTCAATCTGTCTGTTGAAGGTAATTCAGGACATGATTCAATTAAAGATTGTGGTTCCTGTGGGAGTGGTGACAGTTCACCAGTTTCAATTGTTAATGATAAAGTTGATGTTGACTCGTCGACACTTAATAATGTTGATCAAAGAACCAGGAAACCTCAATGTGCTCGATGTCGTAACCATAATGTTCAATCAGATCTTAAAGGTATAAAATTATCACAAAGATCAACATCCGAACATGACAACCTCAGTTACATGTTTCATAAATGAGAGACACTGTTCATGTTTACTTGAAACAGAATCTTAATCGATACTTGGACTAATCAATGGCATCAATTCATTAACATTATTCATTATCATCATGTGATAATATATTTGAGACGCACTCAATTTTTCATGGTTTTGTTTCAAGATGAACATGAACTGAGTGTTTCCATTGATTCCTATTCTAACCAACTCATTGGGATTATGCTGAAAAATTGTTATTAATTGAATGTTTTCTTGACCACAGGTCATAAGAGGTTTTGCAAGTTTAAAGATTGTGTCTGTGCTGATTGCTTGATAACGGAGGAGAGGCAAAAGGTCATGGCTAAACAGGTCGCTCGAAGGAGACAGCAAGAAGATGATCTGAAAAACGGACGAATGCCAACGATTCCAACAGCTCCGATTAAGCGGCCTTTCTACAAAGGTGAGTCCACCTTTTCTTGCAAATTTTCCATCGGTCAACTAGTACCGTGGATTTTGAGTGCCAGTCGATTCACAGATTAGAACATTAGTTGATAAAATGTTCTAAATTTTTCCACATGATAATCTTAACCCTTCAAGTGTTGGTAGTTATTTCCTTTTGAATCTAAATTTCCTTTGTCGATCTTACCTCATAAATATTTCTCTGAAATGATCAATCGCTCGACTATTTCAAATGGGGTTTGATTAAAACTGTTACAATTAATAATTATATCAATAATTAGATTCATTGCCAGTATTTAAAATTAGATCTACGGTTTGATAACTTTGTTATTTTCCCATTGAAATATTTATATTGTTATCAAGTTTATTGATTAAATGAGGAAGTGATCATAATAATAGTTGATTAGGTTTCATATTCATATTATTATCATGATTAATATCAACGTTTGTCATTGATGTTAAATATTTTTTGTATCTACATTTTTGTATATAAAAGATACTGTTTATCACAATCAGTGAGCTAGTTATTTAATTTGTAAACAATTTAGTGAGAAACTAATTCACTCTAATCTAAATAAATGATTAACGATGAACAATCATTTGGCTTGAGAAAAAAGTGAATTTAGATTAAAAGGTTCACTTATTGGTTAGGATTAATTAGAGAGATAAATCAAATTACATTAATCATGTAAACGCGAAATTCAAGTTGCACTGTTTCCCCTTAAATAATCTATCAGAAAATTGTATTAGTTATTAACGAGAGAGAAAAACTAAAGAGAAAAAGAATAAAAAAATTCCCAAAGCATTGAAGAAAAAGAAACAATCAATTCAGGTGAAAAATACATTCTGCTAATATGAACAATTAAATTGATTCGTGTTGCTAATCATTATCATGTTACTCTGAAAGTTTCAATTCGAGCCATTGCTTTGAATAGATCAACTTTTGCCCTTTAAAAAGTAAAACTCTGAGAATTGAACTTTTTCTTAAAGAAAATAACCAAGGATATCCCATGTTAAATTAATATTCGGTATGAGTTTTCGTCGATTCCCAAATGAATTATTGATTAACAGTGAGAAATACGGCAGACTAAGAAATAGAAAAAAAACAATCAAATAGCTTTAGCTAATTCTAAACAGTCGCAAACATGATCATCTTCATGATGATGGCGATAATCAAGATTATTTTGATTATCGTTATTAAGTTTGGATTTCATTCAATGTAACAATTAGTGTTGATTTGAATAGGAAAAAGTGATCATTAACTAATGATTGGAGAGAGTTAAAAAGTTTGCATTTTTAGAGAAACTTTTTATCTGGTTCCTCTTATCGTCAACAATTAACTAATTAACATTGTTGAAATGAGATTATTTAATTAAATATTGACTCAGTTTCAATTTAATCATTTTCTCCTTTTGATTGTTTATTATCAAGAGGATTTATTATAATTATCTTTTATTATCATCACCATATCATCGTATCCAATGTTTATATTATCTTATTTTTTCATATGTAATATAAATTTTCATTCCCAATTTATTCCAGTTGATTCCCAACACAATCAACTGGGAATCAACTGTACTTTTTGTTTAAGCTTGATTGTTACTTGTACCTCTTTAAGGCTTAATTAACAGCCCAGAATTAAAGTTATCATCAAGTTAATTAACGAAAACCAAAGTTAACTTAACCATCGTTTTGTGTTTGGTTTCATTATCTTGATATATTGTCTGAATTATCATCATACGACTACTGTTTAAGTAGCAAGCTTGAATTTTCATTTCACCTTTTCTTAAAAATAATGTAACTTATTAATACATATTTTATTCAACATTAATCTCATAATTACTTATTTAATGTTAAAATGCTCGATGTTGATACTCAGCTTGACGAACTTTGTATCAATATGAATCTGATTGTACTTTTTAATAATAACGTTACTTTAGCTGTTATTAATAACTTCTTGAGCTGAAACAGTTCAATTTCAGCGCATCTCAAAGTATTTGGTAATCGACGTTTGTTAAACTGTTGCCAATTGTTAATCTTTTAAGCCTTTGTAGATTCATAAATTGATGTCAATCATTTGATTTTGCTTCTTAATATTAATCATTCATAGCAATTCAAACTAAGTCGAAACTTTATTTATGTTTACTAAATTCAATTTGTACACAACTTACTCAGCCTTTATAATTAAATTTCGAGTTTACCGATTATCGACCGACTTTGTATATACAGTTACAAGCGATTAACTTGATTGCCGATCTATGCGGTTGTCCACTTTATCGCTGTCTTCGAAAATTATTGAGACTGAACTCTGTCTTTTTCATACAGAAATGTGAATTTAATTCAGCTTTAAATATCCGCAGGCAAAGATCCTTTTTCTTTCATTTTAATACGATCAAGTCAAAGAGATATTTTTCTTATTAAGTCGAATGATGATTAAAATGATGTACTTTCGATCACCTTTGGGTCATGATTAAATCAAGATAACAATGTTTATGTTTCTATTGAATGGATTGAATCTTTATCCTTGATTCAAATTGTTGATGAAAATCAGTAAGAATCATTATCAGAGTCTCAGTGAATTCATTTATTTTTTATTCTTCCTTTTGATTCATAGTCTGACTGTTAACGAGTTGTCATCTTGATTTCTAATTATTATCACCATGAATCTTTCCTATTAAGCTGTTGATTCTAAATCTCATATTGAATTTAATCTTGTATTGAATTAGAATTGAGTTTACACTCTTTTGCTCTAACCCATACACCCGGTTGGAAACATCTTATCCCTGTAATCACAAAATTTCCAGTTGATCGTAATCAGCATCCTCCGTTTTCTCATTATCATTGATATATCTAATTCTGATTATCAGAATAGCTTCACCTTCAAATCTCAAGAGCTAGACATTAATTCACTCCAATAGTACCAAGTAAAAAGATGATGATGGATAAGGAAGATGAAGAGGAGAAATACAGAATGAGATAAACTCAATGTTGATGCTGGACTTGATGATAAAACTGATTTTGTTGTTTTATCACATACATAATATTATTGTCTATTATCATATTATTATGAACCATCATTGGTTCAGTTGTAAATCATTGAAGATTAGTTGATAAACCAATAAATTAATCAAAGTAAATCAAGAATAGCGATAGACCCAACCCAAAGATAATCTCAGTTCGATGAAAATTTACAAATGTATTCAATTTTAGATTTCGATCACGTTGACTTTTCTCAGAATGAACATTCATTATGTAAAATAGGAAATAGGACAACTGAAAATGCTCATGGTGAATGAGATAATCTCAAATTGATCTGTTAAAAGAAACGGATAAAAATCAGAAATTATCACTAAGTTTTTAAACAAAGTTTAATCCGTGTAAGTTGATAACGATAATAGTTGTAGATTTATCCCCCTGAAGTAAACAAATATCACCAATGTTATCAAGATGAGAGTCATGGTTACTATCAACATGGTAACAATGAAAAATTGGGTTCACCAGAAAAAAAGTAATATGTCAAAAGGTGTGAAAAGATTTATCATGTTTGCATCATTTGATATTATTATTGGAGGATTTATAAGAATCATCAAAGTATAAACACAGTGTCTAGTACAGTTATTTATCTTTATCATCATTATCTTCATCTTTCGCCTACCTCTTTATCCCTCTTAATGTGTCAATCTGTGAATTTCTCAGCTTATTATTTGAGAATAGAACTTATGATTCAGTCGATTGAGGAAAGAAGAAAAAAATGGTTAGAACTTTTCAGAAAACTTTTGCTACTTTGGCAGCTTTACTGGTTCATTAAACATGAGTTTCCATGAGGGAAATATTGAGGAAAAAGTTGATTGGTAACCGTTTGAAACATTTTCTTATTCTTTGATTGGAAATTGAGATTATCACATATTAGGTAATCAATTAAACTGACAAAAAAAATTTTAGTTTTATATTAGTAGTTAAAAACAATCGGATTGATAATCAAACAAATTCGTGATCAAATACAGTTAGAATAGCTGATTAATTAATCAATTTCAACGATGATTGTTGTAAGTTAAGTACAACAATTTGTATGTTCATTAATAAATTATAATTGTGGTCTGATCTCAAGCTGAATGATTACAAGTGAGATAAATTGTTACCTTGTAACATGACAGAATAAGGTGACTGGTCATTTGAGTCTCTTTCTTGTGTCCAGTTTTACATGTTTTGGGTTTAAATTGAACGGACTGTAGAAAAATTGTTCATCAAATCAATTGTGCAGTAGATTAGGATTATAGTGAAAATGTATGTGTGTTAATGATGAAAGTTTTGGTCAATACAACTACACTCAACAATTAATACATTTATGTAGATTAATTGCCCAACTCTTGTTGGTAAATTGGTTTTTGTATATTAATAGATATGAATGGATAGTTGACTTTGTGTATAATCTGGTCACGATTCAAACCAGAATTGATTAATTAGAAATGAAACAAAATAATCACTTAATTTGGTTCAAGATTAAACTTTATTTGAATTTTATTGTTTTTATATTTCCCTTTGATGGTGAATGAAGACAATTTGAACAAATTGTAGCAATAACAGTTAATCATCTCGCTGTTAATCAATCAATAGTAGCTCTTTTTACCTTCGAGTAGCTTAATTGTTGCTACATTTATTTTATTTGATTTATAAGCATCGATAACATTTCAACTAATAGTATTTGCATGATATATTTCCAGTTGAAACTTTATTTTGCATGAAGAGAAATAAATCATTTTGATTGAAGCCACATTTAACTATTTACCAATTGAAAGCCAACCTTTTCTATCCTGAGGCAACTTAGTTCTTAACAATACCTTTTTTTAACCATTTATTTGTCAATATTGATGTGTCCTAGTCAATTCAGGACTCGAAAGGTAGTTTAGGTTTCACAAGTTACAAGTATCCAGCTCATCATTGAGATCTTTCAATTGCTCGATTTTTCAATTGTAGTCGCTTTCATCTAAGTTGATTAAATGT